TCCCCTCCCTCCCCAAATACAAACACCAGGATTTCACAAAAAAGGGGTGAGTGGCCCAGGTTTCACATGTGCGTGAATGCAAGGGTTCAGATAAAGGAGGAGCCATTGCAGCCTGTCAGACCACGAGTTGGCCACTCCAGACAAACACAAACTGCGTGGAGTTCCATCACCTCTTGGTAACCTTCCGGTCATATGCTCATTGCGTGTACGGACCACAGTCCTACTTTACTTGTACACATAAGACTAACACATTCCAAATGGACCATTGGCTACAGTGATAAACCCTGATACACATCCTAGCATTCACTATGCACCACTCACCTCAAACGCTATTTACAGAGGACATGATAAAATCATGTCTCGCAGTTTATGACTGAACGGTGCGTTAAACAAAGTTCGATCGTCAGAAAAGCTAAGTAATGATGTTCCGTTCCTGAACTTATCGATAATGGATTGGACATACACAAAGTCTTTTTTCCACGCTCATTGTTTTTAAATGGAAAAACAAAGTGAACATGACAGGGGGAGATGCGAGTTCAGTGGCTCGAAAGGCTGAAAAATCCTTCTAAGGCTTCCATACGTGATTTGGTTCTAACTGAACAACAATCAAGCCTCATCAGCGACACAGGTTTTTTCATAAGTAAATGTTACAAAGTACACTGAGAGGTAGGAGTTTCGATCTGACTCTTAATCACGTGTAAGACCAGATTTTACATTCAGCTGGCAACCCCTTAGGAAGGTACGATGGATCGACAAACGAAAATTCTCAACGCACGAATCAAGGAAGACAGTAAATACGAGAATATATAGCGCCCGGCGCGTGTACGCTGTCAGCTCTGTGTCGGTCTGTAGCCAATCGGCAAAGGGGAGAGCGTCGATTGGTTTCAAGCTCCCGCTTCATCAGAGTGCACTCTACAGAGGTCCCAGTGGCGAATTAACAAGAAACTTGAGAGCAGAATGGCGATATGATTAAGCCGTTGAACTGGCGATCGCAGAAGCCGCCTTCCACAAACAATCGGATCATGCGTAATAAAAACACGATGGTTTCGGAGCGCGTATGTTCGGTTATAATGAGAAATTTAAGCACAGAATGCGCGTGGCATCTAACTTACCCTTTTGTTCCATGTCCCATGTGGCTGTCCAAGTAAACCTACTTAGAGATCATATTGTACACGGCGGCTGCTGTGGCACCGTCACTGTCCGACGCATACCAAACAGGGGCTTGTGTAACTCAGAGGTGTCAAAAGGCCACCATAATGGGACTATTGCGGTCTGACCCACGTATTAATACAAACATCTCGTAAGCTAGGCAGGTAAAATTTCCAGTCACGATTTTTACAGCTTCTTGCCTGGGTCAAACGTCTCAGACGTGTGTTTGTGATGAGAAGTAGGTTGCTTAGTCCATGACTGCGGTGGGTGGGTTCGTGTGTGTTGAAGGACTAGTATGTGTGGTGATGTAGTTTGACTGGTGGTGTTACACCGCTAGCTTTCATG